AGAGCTAATGCCCTGAATTTTAGTAGATCTAACGTGTGTCTATTTTTGTTGCTGTTAGCATTACCGTCCCTATTGAAAAAATGCTTAGGAGCCCAGTCTGAATTAAGGCCCTACATAATACACAAACATAGCAAAAACATGGCTCTGTATGGAAAGAGTTTCTAATCTGTTATAAAACACCTTATTATGAAATGCAACAGAAATTCTTAGGCAGACTTGCTTTGTAAATAAAAAGACTGGAAATGAAAGCGAGTTCTAAAATACACTCCAAATCAAAGACCTTTAGAAGGACACCATCAATTTAGTAACCAGCCTCTTATCTGATAAGTTTATTTACTACTTTTATAAGGAACACCCAAACTAACTGTATATGGAAATATTAATGGGGGGCAGGAGGAACCATACAAGACTACAGAAAGCCACAAACAACCCTCTAATGTTTTCATGGGCAATTTTAGTCAACGAGATCCCTACCTGCAGTGAAGGGCAAGCGCAACCACTTCTCCCAACCCCCAAAAGACTCTCTGACTCTTCCTGCCTGTATCCCTGCTTTTAAGGGTCTAAATATGTGGTGCTAATTCTGTCTGCTTGGAGAAGTCATGGGGGTTTCCCGAAGAAGTGAAATACCAGGGCTTGCTCTCATGTCCTCGAGTGTCCCAGCAATATTGCTTTGCTTCCACGGGCTTGGAAAGGTAACCTCAGGATAGCAGAAGGGCACGCACTGCAAGCACACAGCTTGAGCCTAACACACTGCGCTGCCCCGGAGAGCCCGTCCCCTTCACAGCATTGCACAGGAACATACGCATATACGCAGAACCCAGAGCAGTACTGCAGGCCCGTCCAGGCTGAAAAAGGGGAGCAGACAAGTCACGGGCTAGCAGGAAATGCCTGTCTGGGGAACAGTAGGAGAACATAGGTGGGACCGTGGCGTGGGAAAGGGGCAGGGTTGCTGCCTCCCCTGAACAAAGGCATCCTTGCAGAAAAGTGTGAATTGGTGGAGGGATCCTTGGAGATTCTTCATAATTAGCTGTGGTTGTTTAAGTATGGTTCTGTCCTGAAAACTGACTAAAATAGAAATTCTGAATATGTCATTTCCTGATTGAAAGTGTACAGCTTATAATTAAATATATATATATTTTTTTTAACTGCTGACTCTGTATTCCTTGTAGCACTCAGAATTCTTGTATTTGTGTAGAGCATCATCAGTTGTGTGGCCATTGAGGCCGTACTTTGCCTGCAGGGACATCTATGGTACCCCACTGTAGGTATGTAACTTACCACAGCTTGGCAGCTGGTGACGTACAAGATATACCAAAACACACATCATTGTCTCCATACTGCTAAAAAGCAGGAGAACTGGCTGCTTCTTTAATGTTACAGTAAGAGTGTATGGCTATGAATGCACACTGCCACTAGACCTGTTCAATAAGAAGGGGCCTTTTTTATATAAGCATTCTGCTTTAAGACGTCTAAAGCTTTACAGACCACATAGAAAAATAGATTCCCTAAAATTCTGGATTCAGATCTTGCAGGAAATCCTATTTACAGTGAAAAATGCTGTTACAAGCATCTGCAAAAATCCTGAAAATAGCACAGATGAAGGCAAAATGATCTTTAGTCTCTCTGATGAGTGGGATAAAGTTCTGCAAGCTTCCAGGGAGCAACAGGACATTATGCTCATTGGAGACCAGTTGTTTTCCTTTCCTAACATTAGCCTTGTTGCCCAAGACAAAGAGAAGGATCTAATGTCTATGAAGCAAGTTTTTTGGCAGAGAATGTGTAGACAGCTATTCCACACCCAAACATGTTATTTATGACAGTAAACTAATTATTTTGTGAGCAAAAAGTCAGTAATGAAGCTAATCCAGTAAATTTAAGCAGATCAGGCTATAGACAATTGCCAAGATGAAAACCTGGTAGCATCAGACAAGATAAGATAAAGAGATCTGGCTATATTGTACTGTAATTTAAACTCCCATTGACTCCATGTGCTTCAATCAATGAGTTTGTGTGGGTGCAGCTGATGGCTGAGCTTGGCCTAGAAACTCAGAATATTTCATTACAATTTGATGATCTAGTTGGTCTTAACTCAGCCAAGCAAAGGTTCACAGGGTATTAAATTGCTGCTCATGTAATTACATGATTAGGTGATAGTTTCCAGTTATGTCAACCTAGCTACAGTAGATATGAGAAAAATTTTTTCTCTCCTTCTTAAAATGACAGCAGATGGAGAAGACACTACCGTAACGTAGTTCAGATTTGCAGGTTCAGTTCCCAGTTTCCCCATCCCAGAGTGGGCACACACTAACTGTGCCTCCGGTAGTGTTCATTCATTATACATGAGCAGGCAGCCATCTACCAATGTTCACCAAGCAAGGAGCCAGTGCAGCTGTGTTCAAGCTGGCTTGTATGCCTTCTTGTTTGTAGATTCGGTTTTCTGAGACTGGTTAGCACAAAAATGGAGCATCTGGAGTTGCATATTTCCCTATAACTTGCAGAACAGAAGCTATTACGCAAGAGGACTACAAAGCTGTTTCTGTATGATTCTCCTCAGTTCTGGTAATCAGTGAAGGGAGGCCACAGCCTCCCTCATTTCCTTCCCTCTTGTGCATTTGTAGTTGATATACACAGATGTGGTTACTGTCTCTTACCCTTTTCTATACCTATCTTCCCCACTCCTGTTCTCTTTTTTCATCATCCTTACAGAAAGGGGTAATATTTTCAAAAGAATGACCTTTTCTTTGAATCTGCAAAACTTCGTCTATGCCATTTCAGAACACAAGTGCATACTTGTAGATCTATCTGTTTGCCTGAATGCAAACTGCACCCCAGTGTACACAGGACCCCAGACCAGCCTACTGAACTTGCTCCATGTCCGAGCCATATCTTTCACTAAATCGTGCTTGGTGCAATTTCTGGAACACTCCCTTTCAGAAACCTGGAAAATGAAGGCTAGAGCATGCTAATTCCACCTCCTCTAGACTTGTGCCCTAATCTTAAACTTTATAAATTCCAGCATACCCATTCTTCCCATATTAATTAAACATGTAAATACACAATCAGTAGAATTGTCTCATACGAAGTTTTAAAAAACCATGTAATTTCAGCTGCAAACAACTAAAATGTATTTTGTTTTGGTTTTATATCTGTACGTGCATTTGTGCTTACCATTTGAATTGTTAGGTATACGATACCAATAGCGACTGTCAATGAGAGAATGCCTAACGTAAGCACATGTCGTCCATTGCACAGCAGTTGACTGCAGCTCGGAATAGGTCTTGTAACTTTCAATTATACAGTCCAATAAACTACTGCTATCTAACACCACCCTACCCTTACGTAATCTGACAGCTGTAACACTTTGGCACCAGACAGTGTTTTGTTTGCTTGCATGATTATAACCTCAAGGCAAGAACTGCACCTGGGTACATGACACAGTCTCAGGCACTTTTGTAACAGAAACTCCATCTACATTGCAACTCTGGTTAACAGCGTAACTTTATTGAGAGCTTTTCTGTCACATTTTGGTATTAGTTAAAACCCTTGGGGAAATAATGGAAACAAAAGTATGATTTTGCCTGTTTAAATTGCATCTGTTCTAGCAGGACTTGCTTGTTAAACTTCAATCACCAAATCTTTTTGGTGGAGTCTATTTCTAAGGCAGGAGAGATTTTCCCATTACTTTGCAGTTTCTGAATGCAACTGCCTTGCAATTGAAAATAAGCATTTCTAAAAGAACTAAAATTTTATTTATTCAAATATGCATAGTTAGGAAGAATATTTGCAATACAGTCATTGGTGACATAGAGTAATGGCAGAACACGAAAGCGAAGCAAGGAGATTAACCAAAGCAACTGCATTGGCTAAGATTGAATGATTTTTATGGGAAGAAAAAAAAAATCAGATTCCCACGTACCATCAAAGGAGGAATATATATATATATATATATACACAATTTAACATCAAAGTAATTAAAGTTGCTCAAGATAAACCTAGTTGCATCCCAGAAATGGTATGATTCAGATCATTTGCAGTTGCAGAGAAGCAAAAATTTTCAGACTATAGATGTTATTTGATAGCTTCCGTAGAGTGTTGGGTCATTATTCAAAGCACTTAGGCATATATTTAAAAAGGAGATTTTTTAAAGACATAAATTGATTTCTGGCAGAAACAGATCAGCCAGTCTATCTTAAACTAAAGGCCTTTTGTGCCTTTGAAAATCTTTCCTACCAAATTTAATAGGACCTAAGCATATGCTTGAAGCTAAGCAGAAGCTTTAGAACTGAATAAATGTGATCTTAAGCATACATTTAGATGTGTGGCTGAACTTCATTCTGAGGGGAACCAACATAAAATGGAAGCTAGTTTAAATCCATTGAGAATGCTCCAATGTGAACTATTCAGGTATCCCCACTTCAGTTAATTGTTCAAACTGCAGAGCCAGTGAAATATTTTGGTAGAGCAATATATGATATCAAGGCAGCATAACAGTAACACACACTCTAATCTCCAGAAAGTTGTCTCATTCCAGAATTTCAGCATTAAACAAGAAAAGCTTTTTGAACTATCTTTCATAACTTTCACAGGAATTTTTTCATTGCTTATAACAACAACCTGGAACTGAAAACTTACCACACAGAATTAATTCCCTCTTCACTTTTAGATGCAGGGATTTGTTGTAGAGGCTGTGAGGTCTTGTTTAGGCTCCAAGTTCTGATCTGTATCCCAACATTGTACTTAATTGTTTTCTGGTGAGAGAGAGAGAGAGGGGTCCTTATTAGCAGACATTCTTCCTGGTCACAGAACAGGGGAAAATAAAGAGTAAATGTTCATTGCAGCAAAGGCAACAATGGCACACATGCCACTCATCTCAAATTCTAGCATTGTTTCAATATTTAACCACATTTTGAGCTATACCTGGACAGCAGCAGAAGTTGCAAACTAACCAATAACCTTTGACAGACACACTCATTGTTTTGCATTTCTCTTTTAAAATACAGGCACTTGGATGCGGGTGTGTGGGACAGGCTGTCCTTAGCCGAGGAGCCCATGGCGGGCCCATGACAGTATCAGTTGGATTTGCAATGGCAGTCACCATAGCAGTGTATGTCTCTGGGGGAGTTTCTGGTACGTGACTTTTTTTCCTTATGTAGCATTTATTGCCATGGTTTTAAAGCTACCTTATTAAATTACTTCTATTTCATGGTATAAACAATTATGTATCTAGCAATAGCAAGCACCATTACAGCAGAGTCTGCATCAGAGTTTCGCTAGTAACTATTTTGTGGTCTTCCTGTTGCCTTCTATTCTTTGTGTTTGACAAAATCTTCCACCAAATTCTGATCTGAACTACAGTGTGCAAACCTTGGCAGACCTCTGGCCTTTATGGAAAGCAGTATGTACAAACCAGAAATCTGGTTGGTCTTGCTTTGAAAATTCTGTCACTAAAGATGATCCTGGACAACATAGGCCCAGCGTTTAAGGAAATAAGCATGAAAAGCTTACAGAATCCAGCAGTCACCCACTAATGGGTATAATAAGCAGGGTTCACCTCACGGGGTGCAGTTTATCTCTTCGTGTCTTATGACGGGCAGTAGCAAGTCTGTTCCTGTCTGCTTATTCACAGAAGCAGCAGATCGTAGAAAGCAGAAACAGCAAAAAGATTCAGTACTAGAGATACATTCTGGGATACGCTGTCAATGTACGTCATTGCCCCTTTGTTTCTGCTATAACATTTCCTTAATATATATTGGTCAGGAATCTCTCTTTTGTCTGTAGCTGGGCTAACTAATCAGTGGCTCCATGTGCCATATTGGATGGTGCTTTGTCTCCTATTTCCACCATTCAATTTGGCCAAATCAGTATCAGAAACATTAGTGTGACTGCTTTTAACATTTAAATTCTCCCTTTAAAATAGAAAATTGTGGGTTATAATAATACACAGTGTTGTGTATTATAATACACAATACTCCGTGTTGTATGTGGAATTTATATTGTTCTCTTAAAGCAAATGGTGCCCTTATACTCCAGCTCTCATAGAGGCATTTCTTAGCCTTCATAAAGAGAGTAAAGTCAATCTGGGCAGATATTTCTAGGTATAACTAGGCCATTATAAATAGTTGCTACAGCAGAAATTACTGTGGCCATTTCTCTTCTCTTTTACAAATTCATTTACAGAGACACCATGCATGAGGTTTCTAAGTTCACATTAGAAACTGCTCAAGGTACTGCAAAAGAGGCAGTCTTGTTACTGTCATTGCAACAGAGCAGAATGAATCATAGGATTGTTAAGGTTGGAAAAGACCTTTGAGATCATCAAGTCCAACGGTTAACCTAACACTGCCAAGTCCACCACTAAACCATGTCCTTAAGTGGACTTAATGGTTAGAATGGTTCCTTAATACCACCCAAAGTTAATTCAGCAGTACATTCCTATTATCTGAACAGCTTTAAACTACAGGTTTTGGTTTACATGTAGGCAGGTAAACTCTTCTAATGCAGTATCATGAAAAAAACCTGTGAAGACACTAGCCTGTCCTACATTTGCATCTTTAAGGGATATTCATGTCTATTATATAGAAGATTAGAGTTCAATCCCAATAGGGCAGAGCAGTTGCAGATGTTGCAGTATTGTGCTTCCTGTGTTTTTCCCATGACAAAGGATTCTGCATGCAGTGCATTTTCTCTGTGAAAGAATAGGAACAGATATTTCAATAGGTTGTGACTATCCAACATATGATTACTAGTGGACACTTTAGAATATCAGTTCCTATGTAGAATTTGTTAGCAAATTCTGCGGCTCTCTGGCCATGAAGCCTTATGTTTAACTACTGCTAAAATATTTTGCGCCAGTTCTTTATGAAATTCTAAATTCCTAGTAACATAAAATATATAGTATGCACAGTTGGTAAATTTGAGCTCTTTTATCTAGGAAAATTCCCTTTTTTGCTTTTCCACCATCTAATTTTCCTCAATCTCTAGATAATTTCCCACCATTTTTTCCAACTTAACATTTCAAAGAAAATCATGACTGTGATCACTGCAACTATGAAAGAATGGGGAACACATTGTCCAAAGGGGACTTTTTTTTTAACCAGGCAGCTACTGGTGGCACAGGAACCAAGAATCTTTTAAGTCCCCTATGTCATCATGAGAGCCTTCAATTAGACTTTTCCTTTCCAGATTTAATGTTAATCAGACATCTCTAATATTATGACTTGTCCTGGCCATCATAATCACCGTGTATTATATACAGGTGGGGAACAGTATCAGGTGATGAAAGAAAGGAAAATTATTCATTCCAGCCAGAGTAAAGAACAAAAGACAAGACAACAATTTATCAACATTCACATGAAGGGCTGTTAAATAAGGTGCCATCCATCTATTTGCTTTGTGCTGAAGAATCTGAAACACAGCGAGGAATTCAAAATTAATTCAAGACTGGTGCTACTAGGTCAGAGTTTTGGAAATGATACAAAGAAGGTTTTATCCAGTTGTTATCTGTGTTTGTCAGTTCATTATGTATCAAAGGTGCCTGGGTTTCATAAGATAATGACTCACTGACCTGAAGTGCAAGCAAACACAGAAACTGTACATAGAGGCCCTTTCTCCATCACTAGCCTTTGACAGACAAAGATCATGCTCTTTTAGTTATTTTATTAAAGACAGGCTATTTTTTTTCTGATAACCATACAGGCTGAAATGAGGCTGTACCTGGAAGGTAAGCAATGGACCTGCTATGTCCTTGCAAAACTTGGGTTTTACTGTATTTTTTACTGTGGAGTACTGTTTCAACTGTTTATTTATTTGGCAATTTGTATTTCTTACGTATCAACTACATATTTGTAAAAAATGAAGTTTTCCAAAAGCATTCAACACTTTTTTCCATTTTGATAAAAGATGTAGAGGGAATTGACTAGCATGTGACATAATAATAAATATATTTTAGAAACTAAAATTGTCACAAAGGATTCCAATGTTGCTGAAATCTTTCTCATGTGTGAGTTTAGGTGTAGCTACTCCTAAATATAAAGGAAGGAAATTCCACAGGAAATGGAAAAACTCTGTTTCAGCACAGCTACTTTATCAGTTTCCTTATTGTGGACCTTTCTGGAGGGTGTAAGAGCTTGATGAAAACGTGTGATGAAGAACCATGCACTGCTGTCCCCAGATCCCATCTGGGCATAGCTTACCAACAGTCAGCATGAAGCTGGACAGCCCTAACATTATTTTAATTTATGTTCATGAAAACCGAGTTCCTAAGTAACCCCAGGTTGAAGACGAGGGCATAAACGTGACTTAAGTCCAGGATACTCAAGATATACAATCAACCCAGTAATAGTCCTTAATGTCAATACATGCTTGCTAAACTGAATGAATGTTCTGCTGTGCCAATCCTCCCTTAAAAACAAAAAGCCAAAGCCCTTGGGGAGAGAGAATATGTGCAGAATGATGGACCCTTTCCTCACAACTGATAGGGCAGATTTAGGCTTTTTCAAGAGAAGTTGTCTGTAGACCTACAGGTTATATACAGCAGGACAGCAGTCTGATAAATAACACCATCTGCAAACATCAAGAGGGAAGCTAGATCTTGGTGGATACTGGCTTTCCCCCTCCCCCAATTTCATCCAACTTGTTTCAGTTTAATTGCAGTCAGCATTTAATTGCAAAATAACATCTAGAAAAGCATGTACTAGTCTCGTGCTTAGAAGTGCCCACATTTTTACAAATCCTTCACCTATTCTCATGTATCTGAGTCATCCATATGACTTATTTTGTGATTTATTTTTCAGGTGGTCACATAAACCCAGCCGTTTCATTAGCCATGTGCGTGACTGGAAGATTAAAATGGACCAAATTACCAATTTACATATTAGCACAACTCCTGGGAGCATTTGTTGGAGCAGCGGCTGTCTTTGGGATTTATTATGGTGAGTACACCTTAAACATGCTCACAGGACAAACTAGAGGTCAGGCAGTCTCTAAGGCCCCAATTTTTCAATGAGTGCCAAGCAGGCAGAGGACTGTTCACACAAGGCTAATGGCAGGACTGAAGCTAAAGCCGTAAAGAAGAAAGGAAGAAGCATAAAGAGTTTGAAGGAAAAAAAAAAAATAAAAAAAAGACTCAAACATTCCAGGTATCCTACAACTTTCCTGAAACACTAATACTCCAGGAAATGTTCTGAAATTTAGAAAAATTATTCATGGGAAATCAGATACTCTGAGATCATGTATTTCTCAGTAAGGATTTAAAATTACTTAATAGCCAGGATATAGGGCTATTCATCTTCCAAGCAAATTAGAAACATTAAAGACCTGATCCAAGTGCCTGTAGGCAAGCATCACCAACATTGTTCATTGAGGTTACAGGATATGAGATCAAGTCCCTCCTGACTAAACTTCAGACCACCCTAGAGAGGTAGCTCTCCAAGACAATGAACTCCAGGTAGAGTGATAAACGGGTTGCATATTAGAAGAGGAAAAAAAGAAAAAAAGAAAAAAAAGATTACCCCTATCCGTGAGGCATGTTTCTTTTACATGGTGTGCCACAAAGGGAAAAATCTGAGTAACAGACTCCCTGACTTGATGAATCCACTTAGTCGGATCAGTTGCTTCGATCACCTGCTCCAAAACTCTGCTTCTACTATCCCAGCCCATTTCCTCCAAAGCCTCTCTCTTATGGGCATTATGTCTCCAGACAGTGCAACAGAGAAAAAATTAAAATGAAAATGCCTATTGTATATCAGCTAGGTGCTCAGTACCAGTAGTAATCATGAACAGAAAAATCTTTAGAAACTGTGGTAACTGTTTGTGGTTTGGTGGGGTTTGTTTGAGTTTGGGGGGGGTGTGTGGGGGGTGTGTTTGTGTGTTTGCTTTAAGGTTAGTGTTAGAATTTGGAAACTGTGGGATTCCAGAACAAGATTTCCACCTGAATTTAAGTCCTCCTCAAGCCAGACAGCCAGGATTAGGGCTGCTGCCAGGATGCGGCAGTACATCAACAAGCACGTGGGGTTGGGCGTGGATTCACTGTGTTCTGCCAAAGGGTAGCAGCAGGATAAGGAGCCAAGATAGGGAACTTAGGGCTAGGGTTATTGTTAGAGACTTCTTCCTGTTATTCAGGAGTGCAGGATTTTCTCATATCCCTATCTCTGCTCAAGTACTTTGCGCTCCTCTTGTTCTTATTAATTCCCAAACTTCTTCTCTACTTTTTCCTTCCTGCAACTTGCAGGAGTGTCCTGTACTCATTGAGGTCCACTGAAACCTCACTGGTAGAAAAACGGACATCGGAGCTCAACACCTCTATCTTCCTCATACACACATATCTGAGCTAGATGCTTTCATTTTCAGTGACATCCCTGAAAGACTGAGGGAATATATATGCTAGGCTGCTGAATATGAGGTCTTTCTAAAGGCCTACAAAGTAATTCACAGCTGAGAAATTTTCTTTTCCTTACCCTCTTTTTTCTAATAGTTAAATACAACAAAATAATCTGACACTGCAAATGAGAGAGCCTGACCAAAGTAAGCAACTAAATATTCTCTGCATCCATGTTGTGGCCTTAAGCAAAGCTAGAAAAAACAGGGGCAACAAGAAATAGATTTGTCTGCTAGCTTCAGGAGAAGCTTACCATCCTCACCATGACTTCTATGGGAGATGGGGAGCTGTTTCTTTACTCACAAGTATCACCTCATCACTGGATCCACTAGTGAAATAAAAGCACAGTGTTATTCATGTCAGTCCATGCAGATTTTTGAGTGCTTCATCTTAGTGTCTTCCTATTTCTAACACTTCAGGGCTTGCCAAGGCAGCAAATTATTCTGACACAGAAGTCATATTATACTATTTAAAATACACTTTAAATATACTAACATAAATATATGTATATTTACAACATACATAAATCTTTACAATATATATATAAAAATACATTAATGTAAATATACTAAGAACTGAAGTTTTGGGGCTAGCCTCTCCCATCACATCTTGAATGACTAGCACAGCAGTTGGGTGTAAAGCCCAAGCAGAGTGAAAAGTTCAAACTCCTTTAGAAGAGGAGGTCTCTCAGGAGAGTCCCTTCACAGAAGAAGTCATTGCAGAACTGTCAAATGGAATAGCAGTAATTCCCGTTGGCTGGGAATCCACAACAGTACAATCGGGATGCTGTGCATTTTTCAGGGCATCATGGCAAATACAGCGCCTCTTACAGAATAATGCAACTGTGTTCAGAATCAGAAAATGCTCCCTGGCACTGAGGTTGGAGCAATGAGCAGGGGAAAAAACAGCCCCATTTTGAAAGCTGTGATACACAAAACAAGTACTTCAAGGCACAGGAAAAGAGATGAGACAGGAGGCTATAATTAGTACAACACCTCAAATCCATTAACTATGCTCCTAGAAAAAACAATCAGTTTCAGTTGAGAATGTGAACTGCACAGACCTATCACATATATTCTAGTCCTAGAAAACCTAGTGCCTATGAAGAAGTGCAACCAGGTAATGGCTGTTTTCTACAGATGCCTTTATGGAGTATAGCAATGGAACACTTGAAGTCACAGGGCCTAACGCAACAGCACATATCTTTGCAACATATCCAGCTCCATATCTGTCCCTCATAAATGGATTTGCAGATCAGGTAAGTGCACTTGCTGTTTTGACTCTACAAATTAAACGTATTGAAAACTGTAAAACCAAGCAGTAAAAAAAATACATAGATCTCTAACGGGTATGATGAATCTCACCATTTTGGTCATACATCACTGCGTACAATAGCAATGAGAATGCAATGCTGTTCGTGGGGATTACATTTTAGTCGTATTTTACAAGCAAGGTAATTTCAAGTTGTTCTTTCCACATAATCATATTAATTGTTGCACTCTGCATGTCTTCAATGCAATATAAGCAAGAGGTTTTCCTCAGCATAAATCAGTGTTCCTCCATAAACTTCAGCAGAGCTATGTCCATTTACATCAAAATACAGACCATTTTGTGGACCTGTTATTCCTTAAGTAATGCTTAAGCAGCCAGATTAACACACCTTGAACAACTGAGTTTTCTGCTACCATAAGCCTCCTCTCTAACTTTCTCTTTGCAAATAGATTTGTAGTGTTTGTTATTTTTCAAATGAATGAATCTGAAAAAAATCTCCAATTTCCAATTTATATCCTCTAATCCTATGTATCCAACAGTGAAAAATGAAATTTCTTATCTTCTATCTACTTCTAATGTCTTCTTCAGGCATACATGAAATATACTGTGTAAGCAAGTATGAAAAACTAGGGATTGACAGAGCACAGGAATTCCTTACGTAAATGACTTGAAGATTGTGAAATCTGGCTTCAAAAAAAAAATCCTAACATTGTTTTGAAATTTTGTAAGAGAGACAATTCTGATTTTTGCTTTGGATTAGTCAGACTTTTCCATAAGATCTTTTTGCCCATGAAAACTTTAAAACAAAATTAAAACCAGGTGAAATAAAAATAATTTTTAAAACCCCCAAACTTAAACTTATTTAAATCAGTGTAGAAATTGAACATTTTGACATCGCAGAAACTTTTGTCTGTTTTTCCTCTAAGTTAATTATTAGCAAAATCAACATTTACAAAGCATTTGATTTAAGCAGAGCAGCACTTCTGTCAAAGTAATTCCAAGAAAATTTCCTTCATCAGCTCAATTAGCACATGCAATACAGAGTTCACGTTAGTTACACGTGCAACCTTAATTTAGGTAATTCCTAATTTTTTAGCTGCTCAGTTTTGACCTTGTAGACTTCACTTTTTTTCTTATGTTACGCAATACCTGGATAAAGAGGTGCATATTTAGCCTAATTTATCAGCATAAGCTACAGTCATATAAAGCACTTTGATATCAGTGTAGTTGATTGTATTGGCATAGCAGAACTACCAAAAATCAAGTAAGTAGAACTGTTAAATTAATAGGAGAAAAAGTGGAAACAAAGCATCAGATCTCACACAGGCGATGCCTTTTAAATCCTCTATTTTTTCCACACCAGGTTGTTGCAGATCGTTTTTTCAAGTATCCTCAGCACATTTCTTGCCTTTTTCTTTCAGCACAGGTACCAAAACTTCTCATTACTGTGAAGTAGAGAGGCACTGGGTTCCAAATTTTGCTACTCTGTATAGTGGGATAAATCTAAATACCAGCTCTAAGCCACCACAATCCACAGAGCTGTCATGGCCCCTCTTCTCATTATTGGAAGGAATCTGCACATATTTATTCAATATTCTTTTCTTTGCATTGGCCAGGTGATGTCAACAGCTGTTCTTCTTCTGGCTATATTTGCTATTTTTGACACCAGAAATAACAGTGTACCGAAGGGCTTGGAGCCAATTGCAGTAGGACTTCTTATAATTGTTCTTACTTGCTCCTTGGGAATGAACAGTGGCTGTGCCATGAACCCGGCCAGGGATCTAGGCCCAAGGCTCTTCACAGCCATTGCAGGATGGGGGATGGAAGTATTCACGTAAGTATGCCTGGATATGAAGTAAAATGCTCTTAGCTAAAATTGCTTCCTAGGAAAGTAAGATCCTGACTCAACACAGTACCAAGTCATACTTTATATACATATAGGTAATTCTTTGCATACCAGAAGCAGCTATTCATGCACTTTAAGCAAGACATCCCCTAGGAACTGGGCTTTAAAAAGGATTTCCTGCTCCTAGGGCAAATCAAACATGCATTATCCCTAATATCAATCATTGTTTAAAGCAGACCCTTCCCAAAATATTAGAGATTCTTAGAGGTCACTGAAAATATAAGAGTGCTTTCTTCTCTTGTCCTGCATCTTTCAGGAAAAAAAATGAAATCGTGAGAGAGTTAGGTGGGAATATTTATCGGGTGCTGTAAAAAACCAGACATATCAGATTGATTTAGCCTATTATTACTACTCAGTTATTGCGGAAATATACAACAATCTAAAAGCCTGACTTCCTGCCTGGGAGCGAAGGAGTGAATGAAAGAAAGCTCCCTTCATTTTCCCACATTTCAGAGCACAATCTCAAATCCCTGTGCATGCATGTGCGCACGCACACACACACACACACTCTTGGCTGGCCAAATGCACAGCTAATTAGTTGCACATCAAATCCACAGCTTACACATATCCAGTCTAAGAGGCACTCTGGGATATCTAAGTAAGAGTAATCTGTCATCAGGAGGTAGATCTTTTGGTTTATTTTTGTAAGGTTTGTTTTTCCAGTTATTTACAAGTACGAATCCCCAGAAGTACTGTAGACCACTAGAGAGCTCTGGTTAATAGAGATTTCATTTTAGCTACTTCATCAAGTACAAATAATCTGTATTTACGTAGTATGACTTCCATCTACACAAATCACGTGCCTTAGTAGAGGATAGCAGCAGCAAAGCTTTTCTCATACAAAAAAAGCTAGGCACGACACAGAAGAAACGGGCACACAGTCACACCATAGGCCATATCCAAAGCTCAGATATAACACAGCTCTCTAGGTCGGCTCTCTAGCCCGGTTACTTCTAAACTTTTCCCCCCAGCAGCTCTTACCACTGTACCATTCGACTGGAGTTTTTTGTTTTTTTTTTTTAAAACAGCAGCACACAGAGTGACATATCACATATAGGATTCTCCTCTCTAATGCCTATTTAATTATAAGTAGTTGTTGACTAGGATGTTAATTATAGTGCCATGCACTATAATCTGTAATATATTATGAAGTTGGCTATTACATTGCTGAAAAAGTTTGGAAGCCTGATTGTACTGTGGTCTAGTCACAGAATACCTGTGAACTCCCCTTCTCTCCAGAAGTAAGGTCTTATTCATTTACATTTCAGAAATTACAAGAAAACTCTACATCTGTACCAATATGGGCTCTTCCCTAATTTAGTTTCAGGATTTATATACAGAGAGGGAATGCATCCCAACTGTGAAGACCATACTAAGAAATTTTAAAATGGGAACATAAAAAATGAGATACGAGATCTCTAGTCATTGCTGGCATAAACTTACAGCAATCTCAGGGATGTATAAATTGAGGAAGAATTCTTCCTCTCTGCCTTCAGTTATAAGGCTACAGCTATGACCAAGTTCAAGGGAATGATACAAAAGGAATATGTCCTCATCTATCTACAGCACAGATCCAGGCGAGACTTAGGAAGAACTTGAGCTTTTTTAGGTATTTGGAAGCTTTGGATCAGTTACAGGCCATGGGAGAAGTCTGAATGATTGTAGCTGGGATCCTGAACTGCCTGATGCTCTTCTGGCATTACATGTGCAGGAGAGACTTAAGTGGTGCAGCAACAGTTGACAACTAAACCTTGGATGTCTCAGCTTAACTGGAATTCACAACCTTGAGGCAGGTGCTTAAGCTCTCTAGTAAAAGGCATGCCCAGGAACTGGGACCTAAGCATGAAACCTCCACAGTGACATGAGGAGAGTGCTGCACAAACCGAGCGACAGGAAATACTGAAGAGACATTGAACATTCATTGGAGTGAGGATGGAAGCATCTCACAAGGCGACTGAGTTGCTCTCTGTCCGGGCCAGTGCGTGTTCGAGTGCTGCCTACAGGGCAGCCAGGGACCGCCAGGAAAGCCTGACTTTGGAATCGATCAGATACAGAAGGATCTGACTCTCTACACCCTGATCCCAAGCAAATGATCTAAACATGGAGATAATTGGTTCACAGGGGGAAAATCCCCTCTATCCCCTCCTTTGTGCTTGCAGGTCCAGTAAATTCTGGTTTTATCATGTTCTCAGGCAGGGAACTGCCAGTAGACCGGAGGGGAGATCTTCTGCTGGACCATGGCATTGGCCAGAGGATAGGGAGGCAGTTGAGCAGGCATTTTCTAAATGTTATCGTTATTACATTTTACACAAAGGTGCAGTTTCCCTGAGAATCAACCCAGGAGACACAGGCTATGGTGTGGTTTCCCTAGTCAGTGCAGCAGGATTTGTTTTGGTTCAAGGCTCCCATTAGAAGCTGTTCTGACCTACTGCAGCTGGAAAGGGGGTGTCTGTCCAGCACTCTACGGAGAGCACCATTTTGCACACAATAGATGTAGTCAGCTCTGTGGCCTGCTCCTGCAAACTGCTCCTCAACCTGTCTGGAGTAGGTGCCACAGGTGGCAACCATCCCCATCATTAGAGACCACTGCTGACTTTAGAGACCTAAATGTTTCTAACGATTTGTCCTAAAACCATGGAGATAACCAGGAGTCTTTCTTAAGCACATGCTTAATATTCTAGAAAGCATAAGAAGAGTTTTGGGTAGTGAAGTTTTGTCTGTAGGGAGAAAACAGCCAGAGCTCCGAGTACAAATACCAGACTCTGGATTTTGACAAGCATAAACAGAGCATAAAATGGCAATGAAAAAGTGAGAAGCGGCTCTACAGAGCAGCATTTCCCATCAGCGTTTGAACCTAGCCATAGAGTATTTCACCCCTGGGCTATTACGGGTTCTTTTGCAGCTTTGCCGGGGCCGGGTCTGGCTGGCCACGGCAGCGGTAGCGCCGGGAATTCGCCTTGCTCCGCCGCCGCGGCCCGGCGGGAGCTGCGGCGGGCAGAGCCGCCGGCGCGGTAACGCTGACACCTCGTGGCCACCGGCCCCGGGACGGCCGCGGGGACAAGTCGCCCGGACTAAATAAACTGCATTTTGGAAAGGGTCAGGAGACGCACCTCTTGTCTGCGCAGGGATTTGGACGGCAAAGTGGCCTCTGAAATATTTTGCATTCTTCCCGGAGCGCAGAACTGTAGCCAGACACCTTCCACACTGCTGAATGCCCGAATTATCCTGGCATTTCTTAGAGCAAACAGTGTTATCTCACCATCCCGCAGCACTTGGCTAGGTGAGAAAAGTATTCGCAAGTCTAAAATGGGCCAAAGTTCCCAGTCCGTGTAGCTTATACACTGTAGTTTCCTGGAAATTTTTGCAGCTAACCAAAGTGCCGCTTGCCAGGCCTGTGGTCTGCCTGCACCCCTTCGCAGCCGGCTCCCTCCCGCTCTGCCCAACAGCAAAACCACCTGATGACGCCAAAGGCATAGCTGGATGTCTTCCTGCTAGCTTGGCAGCAAAGCTGTAAGGTAGGGTATAAGGGAACTAAGGTTACTTCGGTGAAGCTGTCTGTGCTTGTCACAAAGAGTTCTTGCTCCTGTGTCAAATGAGGGAGGATTGAGTGTCATGGAAACTTGTAACTCAGCTGTGTCCTGATCTGATTTCAGCTTTGGCATCGCCCTCTATAAAGACTTTACACCCATCATCTTAGCAGAGGGTGTCTAAAGCGTAGCTGACAGCAGCTGCTGCAAATACAGGCCGTGATTTGGAGGCCATGAAGGAGCCAACAAGGCACACGTCAGTTCACGGAACAAGCAGAGAGAGAAACCTGCCAAGAAACACCTTCGTTATACGCCCACATACAAACACGGGCACACACAGAGGAATACACGCAAATACTCAATATAGATTTCGTTGTGCTGATTAAGTCAATAAAACCTTAGTCCACACTTGTTCCAGAAATTCAGGGGCTCAACAGACATTCATGACTCAACAACAAACAGATCTATAAACTCAGTAGAACAATACCAGGAGTTATTTTATATCCTCAGGGCAAAATATAAATAATTCCAAAGGCAAAACATACACATCTAAGGCATTTCTGAACAAGGAATAACATTATCATCAATAGGGCACTGTGCGATTAGCCCTGGTTTATTCTTGTGTTGTGACTTAACCACAAGTTCACTTCTGCATAGATCTACACAACTGAGTGCTGAATAATTATACTTACAGTTTAAAAATTCCCCTCGCAGCTTCCTGTAAAGTTCCTCTCACAGATGAATTTGTCCCTTTGTATTTTTGGGAGAAAAAAAAGTTACTTCTCCATTTTCAATATGCATGAAATTGAGGTGGCTGGGTTTTCACTGCAGACTTGCATGTTCAATTAATACAGCATATTATTGAATCAAAACACCTTCATGCACCAGTACAGTTAAGAAAGTCTGTGCTCTGAAACCAATACTCAGTAATTTACTGTCCAAATGTGGATGCCCAGGAAAGGGAGAGCAATTCTACAAGCCTAAGTCTCCTGCATAAAGAGGTTGTTTATTGTTTTATACTGTTTAATGGTAGACTTCTTTCTTTAAAAATGTTCATAAATCTACACATTTAAAATTAAATCCTAGTAATTGTGCAAAGTGAATGTAAACATTTCAGTGGAGCCAATATGCTGGACTTTCTTACTGAACACAGCAATTCTAAAAAAGATTAAGTTTTAGGTGTATAATACACCTCTTACTGAAAGACCCCACATTTTAAACACAGAGATAAGACACTACATCATGAAATTTGAATCTTGACCATTCTAGTCAAGCACAATCCACTTTACAGTCACTCTGTTTTATTACATTCCTTAAGGCAAATATACTCAAAATCAAGTATAATCTATTATATTTGTCAAGAGGAATACCATATATACTATTGCAGGCCTGAACCTGCAAATCTCCATGCAGATGAGATAACCCATTTTTGCAACATACGTTTGCATTAATCACTCCTGAAAACCTATCCATGAGCATCTGGCAACATCATCAGTCAAGACTGCTGTGCAATAAATATGTCCCTGCTCATTTCATTGTAAGTCAACAAAGCCCGTTTTCCACAAGGGAGAAATTATCCCCTGCCCCCAAAACAGACATGCAGTAAAGAGGCCTTATTTTTAAGGTGCGAGTACAGCCTGTAGACCAACATGCCTGGTGGTTGTTACTTAGCATTTCAATCACAACATGGGCAGGACAGACAGGGGTATCATCCATTTACAGAAATGTGAAAGGAAATAGAAAGGTCTACAGTATAGAGAGAGTCAAGCCACCATATTTGTTCACTGTCAAATATAAGGTAGGGTGTTCAGTAGAGTAACAAATAACAATAATTCTTGTAATTCTTGTGGGTTTGTTTGTTTGTTTGTTTTTGTCTTACAGGGCTGGAAATAATTGGTGGTGGGTCCCTGTAGCTGCACCTATGCTGGGAGGTGTACTTGGAGCAATGATCTATATTGTTTTTATTGAAATTCATCACTCAGATACTCAGCCAGGAGAAGAAAATGACATGTATGATAAATACGAACTGACCAATATGGAGTAAAAAGTGAAGAATTTTCTCTCTTTTTGTTGTGCAGTTTTTATGCAAATGATTGTTTGGACCATTTTATAAAACCTGTATGTCTTGATTAGAAATTCACATTTCAAAGCAGAAAATCTATATAGAAGACAAGTTCAAAACTGACTTCTTTCCATGAAACATCGGGCTGATCACATTCAAAACTGGGAACTTGGGGGTGGGAAGGGTAAATTACTGTTCGTTTCATTCATCAAGTTATCTCCTAGATGAAACTGTAGTGAGATGATGCACTGACTTGTTAATTCAACACATATGATCTTAATCATGTTGCATAATTAACTGAAAATAGATGAGATATTGTTACAAAACTGCATGCATAGGTAGTTAATTGGTTCAGTGCTGAATTAACATGTAAGAGCATCGTTCACTTCTTATAGCCATTCTTTAAGAATGGCTTGTCTGAAAATTAAAAGCAATACCCAAATTGCCTAAGTGTCAATCGAAGTAGTTTTAAATAACTTAAATTTTTATGGAGCCACTAATTGAACAGCAAGGAATCAATTTATCACTAATGAGGTTTTATAACTCAGAATATTATCACAAAAGGTAAAATCTGTGTGTTATAAGATCAACACCAAAAAGACAACGCTGCACTTCTGCACAGGTTCTTTATAACTATAATGTTCAATTATTTTTAAACTATTTACTTGACATTTATGCTATCCAATATTAAAAGGCTAATCTAGAATATTAATCTGAACCTCTTCTGCTGTGCTTTCTGGATAAAATTAATTCCTGTGGAGATGGGCCAGCACCAGAGGCTTATGCTGTGCAGAGGTCAGCACGAGGCCTATGTCTGTATAAGCTTTAAAGAGGCCTTCTGCTGCTGTTCTAGATGGAGAGATTTCATCTGCTTTGTGGGAGTAATTTTTATTTTGGTAGCAGTAATTAAAATTAGAAACTGGTCTCAGACCTAGTCCTAGAACTGACTTCCCCAAGGAAGGCCAGCTCCACATCAGAATTCTGAAGTGTGAGTTCTCTCTCGCTAAAGAGAAGTGGTTTGACATACACCACACGTCCTAAATATCCGGCCTTGAAAAATGAAATTATTTCTGCTTAATCATTGTGAATTGAATGTATCCGATTAAATCAAAGTTTATTTCTAATATGTATACATATATATATATGGTTGGTGATAGTGATCATGAATAAATAGGTGTCCTGTTCAGTGATGCTCCTGAGCTATTTTCATGGCAAAACTTCAGGGTACCAGTTCAATGCACTCATTTCAGGGTGCTCTTTCCTTTGGATTCCTATAATTCTGCTCCCTAGAATTCCACAGTATTTTCTGATTTCACTCCTGAATGGAAGAACCCTTCATGTTGCCCATAATAACCTGTGCACTTTGGTGAGGTATCCACAGAAGTGGTTTGGAAAATACTGTGGTCAGAATCTGCCTTGGCATTTGGGCAGATCAGGCCTGTGCCACTGCATGTCTTTATCATGTTCCCTGGTATGCCACACCGAATTCATGGCAGCAAAGGGATAGAATTAGCAGGTCAAGCAAAGCTTTGCTTGCTGCAGCTCTAAGTCAGATGATTCTGTATACTCAAGGCAGTATAATTCCAATTTTAATTATGTTTTTGAAGAAAACTTACAAAACCGTAATGAACTCAGGTTGCCCAGAGACTACATCAATCCTGTGCAAAATGCTCATTTCATTCAGCGTTTCTCTGCTGTGGGTTAAAAACTGATATAGCTATACCCATCCACATTTGACTGCATTGTATCATTATCTGGAGAGCCACAATAACAAGAAGGGAGGGTTTACAGAATCAGTCCTCAATCTGAGCAGAGGCAGATACAGGAGAATCAATAGTACAACGTGGAAATTACTCCTAACTATAGACCTTATATTGGCAGCACAGACAAGCTAGTTCATCTGCCCTGTATATTGATAAATTGCACTACATAAAACAAGATGGTGCGTAAAAGAAATTGCACACTGAGCCTCCTTTTGCTCCCCCTTGCTATGACCGCTGCCTCTTGCCCCTTGGTGATACCTGGCAGGAACACTCCTAGGTGGCTGCCAACCATCTGTGTCTGGAGAGGGATTACATAGGTAGGAACAGTCAGAGGGCTGCCCTCAGGTCTGAAAGGCACTTACTCTTCCACTGACACCAACATCTAACATGAAATATCTGTGCAGAAAATAAAAATAGACAGCTAATTAACCAGAAGCAACCAATTTTGTCCAAAATGGTTGGGGTAGGTTATCAGTTATTGTGCTAGAATTTTGCATAGTCAGTGGGCTTCATATGCCTCACGATATTCTTCCTTTAGTACACCATGGAAAACACGGGGAAAAGCACAACACAGGTCAAGAATGAGAAGGGGACAATTTATTTATACAACTTACTGAGTGACCAGCCCACACTTGCTGTGTGTCTGTGCATTGGCCAAGGTACCTAAAGTTTTACATTTTCTCAAAATCCTTCTGATCACTACAGGTTCTGCCTGTAAATCAACATGAAATCCTTTTTCTCTTACTTATGCTATTCCTATGCACTGAATTTCTGTACAAGTGGTGTTTACTTCTCTGAAGTTAGACATGCAAATCATAAGCAGTGACACACTAGCATGATAGCATAGCAATATCCAAAATATACTCTTAGCAAGTTTTGTCAATTCTGTGTTTGCTTAAAGAACTTATTTTTAAACTTTAGTTAATCATTGAATATGTTTGTAAATTCTTTGAAGACTCGTGGTACTAATACCACAATTCATACTGACTTCACAAAAGCCAGAATTTCATCCAGGAACAAGGTGTTACAGGCCTGTCTCAGATTTGACATAATTTACATTTATAAGTATAAGAATGAATTCCTGCTTTAGGGACAAAACTCAGTTGAGTCTTAGCTACAGAACCATGACCAGTGTCTCCATAAGATAATGGGAACAATAATAATCATCTCATGCCATCAGCTTACACAAACACCATGATCCGCTTTGTGCAAAACAAAAAATATTTTTACTTTGCATAAATTATGCAGTTTTCTAATATCAACCGATATTCAGTGGTCACGCTCATGTTGAATTAACATAATACAGCTGGCAACAAGAAACAGTTTTTCCAGCTGTAAGATGTTCTGGTTAATGAATTAATAGTAATCAGACTTGATCATTTTAATGTTAAAAAAATGGCATTTTCAGAGCATTGCTCAACTTTTAGTCTGGGTTTGTTCTTTTTTTGGGGGGGCAATGTGTTTGTTCATTAGAGCTAAACTTAGTACTAAAGCAATTTGGAGAGTGATCCTGCAAATAGTACTGGGTTAAAGGTTGGCTACTGCATGTTGTTTCATAGAAGCCAGTGGAATTATTCACAACGGGAGGCAATACAAGCAAGGGTAAGCACTCAGAGAATCAAGCTCAGTATAGTGGAGACTGTACTTTCTTGTAGTTTTGACTATGGATCTGGATGAATGTGTTGTGGTTCAAAATAAATACAGTCAATCCCTAATAAATGCATTCCAGTACTATTTTTATAAAAAAAAAAAAATCTCCCCTTTGGCACCTAAGGACATATTAAGAAATAAATAGCTGCCTATTATGACCTACAATGTTTTATAGCCTTGTGCTGGAAGAACACATTGACTAACAAGCTGTATTCCCAGGGCGCAGACCCTGTGGCAGATTTCATGGGTCAAAAGCAGTGCCAAAGCAGAGAAATGCTCACATATGAGTAATGGCTACTGCCAGGCCAGGAGGCACCCGTGCAATGACAAGAGGGCCAGGCCCCTCGCCTCTGGACCTTCTCCTGTTCCTGTCTGCAGCCTGCCTAGGGACACTTTCTGCCACAGCTTTTCCACTGGTCTAATGATTGCCAGAACCTAGGGCGGATATTTTCCTTAAGTCCCTCTTCAGAGCTTGCTCTTAAGGCATGCATATATCACGTCAGATTTGGCCTACAGTGCTTACAAAGTGCCCCAAGCTAACTTATCTATCTTCTACTCTACAGATTTGTAACAGGGACATGCTTTGCTCATTTCATTTAAAAAGTACATGAAAACCTGTTCTTTGGGGGCGAGGGGAGAGGGAAAGATTAGGAGCTTCAAATTTACTCAGGAAGCCACAAAAGAAAAAAAAAACAATTTGAAGCGACAGCAGGCATTTTGTCCTCCATCCATCCTGATGACCCTTACCTTCCCATCAGTCTTTCTGAATTTTGTTCTCCTTTCTTTCTCCTGCCAACAATGCATGCTGTGCTCACTCTATACAGTACAATACATCTCCAGAGATTTAAATACTGCATGCTTTTCTCAGTTACTTATGAATCTTAGAAAGTTCTCATGAGAGCAAATTCAAGTTTCACCTCACACGCTTGTTTTTTGGCAGTTGCTTGCATTTTTTCCCCACTGTTCCCACCAAACAACCTTGTGCTGGAAAATACAACAATTAACTGTAACTTCCAGTAACAGCTGTTCTTTTTCTGTTTAGTACAATTGTTATTGCATAACAGATTACTACTTTCAAATATGCGCAATTTTTAAAGCCTTCCTTTTTCAAACCACTATTAAAAATAGCACAAGATCATCCAGAAAAAAAAATTCTGTGCACATCAGTTAGTAGCTTGGATTTTTATCTTCTATTTTGCACTTACAACTTGTTAAAAAAACATTTATAATTATTGTACTCTGAGTGTTGATGTCTGTCTCCTTATTTGCACACTCTAATGGCATAGTCTCAGAGGAGAAAGTAGTAGGTAAATATTTTTAGCCATTGGTGTTTCTTTGTATGTTTGAATCACATATTAAAGAAATACATATAGTATGAAGCTAGACATGACACATTTATGTATTTTTCTCTCTTTGCTGAACACAACTTCCTTCAAAAGGTGTTACTAAGATAGGGAATATGAATATTACAGCACCTTAAATCATCTGTGATCAAGCTTTCTGGCCAGATGACACAGTTAGCTCCTTTTCCATGACAGGGGAAGACAGACTAATACAGTCCCTCTCTGACCTGCCTAAGGACTGAGCAGTCTGCTTTGAATTATTACAAATCAAGCTTTCCTTTCGCACTCCAAACATTGCTCCAACCATCCAGAAATCGAGAGTAACAATCCTGCTA